TCTTTATGTCTTAATTTGAATTTTTTATTTACAAAAATTTTTTTGTCTTATTTATCAATATGTTAAACCTTAGTGAATGTCACTTGTTGTTGTTGTTGTTGTTATCGTCACTGGTTTCCACTTTAATACGAAGTACCATGATCATCATAAATAAATAAATAAATTTAGAAAATTCGACAGAGTAAATATTAGGACGGAAAATTTAAAACAAAGTCCAAAGTTTGAAGCGAAAGGTACTGGGTTCGAGTCCCAGAGTGAATATCAACTATGAGATGTAGGTACATCCAGCTGACGAGTCCCAAATAGGACAAAACGCGCGTCAAACTGGATTCCACTGTTAGCCACTATCCATCTTTGCTTACAATGTTTGTGAATTAAGGCTATATCGAAGCGATACACACAGTATGCACATATGCCAATTAGAGAATGACCAATTGAAATCCTAACACATCAATGGGAGGATTCAAACAAACTATACTAAGTGAATTTAAAGTCCAATTATTGCTGTTACTGTATTTATTCTATTTAAATTATAAACCTTGATTACTTTTAGTTCTGTTTAGGTGAGTGTTACTATTCATTTTATTGTTTATATTCATTGTTTTCTCCTTCTGTATTGATCTATTATTCGTCATTTGAAAGGTAAATACAAAGATAAGGTGGGTGGGGGTAATGTGTGTGTGTGTGTAAATGTGTGATTAGAATGAGGTTGACGCTGTCCTATTACATTGATAATCTTACTGTCTGGACAATGTCAGTTTCTTTATGGTTAACTGAAACAATGAATATGTGTTTCAATATTGGCTTATTTCCTCTTTCTTCATTATTGTCTTCTAGCCATGGTTATGTATATCATTTATGCGTAGGGATGGGGTTCCTTACGTGTTTTGTTTACTCTTTTATACACTGCTTTATTTATCCTGGTCTTTTGTGTGTGTTGTTCTTTTTAAAATTTTGTCAACATTTATCCATAAGTTGTTGTCATACACAAGTTAATTGATTTAGTAATAGACGACGCAGAACCTAGCATATACATCCATAAACCCAAGTTGTATTAGTATATCAGAACAGAGAGATAAAACAAACGCCAGAGTAACGGAAGTGTAGTAATAGTGTCAGTAGTGATTGAAAATATTACGCCTAAGCAATATGATTCGAGGATGAAGAGTTCATTCACAAAATAAAAGAAATACATGATGGTCTTAAAACTTAAGATCTAAGGAGAGGGAAAAAGCAAATGTATTACACATGTCAATATGACTTAGACTAACAGTCAATGACTTCATGGACTGATGTCATTCCATTGGTTTAGCTGCCTCTAGCTTCCACCAAACTATTCCTGTCTTCATCCACCGACTACTTTGACGTACGATGACAGATAATGTAGGGCGAACATTTAAAATATGATGACCAAATGAGATCTATTTTGGTCTGACTTTGTATTATATGGTACCACTTACATTCATATTAATATTGATAACAACAATAAAAAAGGCTTTTACTTAGGCCCATTAATGTGAGCAATTATGACCTGTGACGATTTTCATTTCTCTATATATTAAAACTTTAATGAAGTTGGATAATGTAGGAATAATTGATTTTCAGATCAGTAATTTAACATTTTTTCGTAATCATTGTATGATTCGAAGAATCTGTCTGTGATGTAGTTTCGGTACTCATTATTGTTGTGGAGTGTCGTATCGTACTACCTCCGGTGTTCACAATGACTTTCCATGCTGAAGACTATTTTCTGATTATATGATAATTTGTAATTTAGTAACTGTGTATGCAGCTTTCGATTTAAATCGCTGTTGCTATTTGTCCATTCTGAACGGATCGCCTCAAAAGCATTATGTTATATGTTTAAGTATACTTGATATGGTTTATATAGGTAACAGTGGGACTCAAGGCACATTTTTTGGTATGGCGACAAACTGACTAATTACAATTCTGAATATGAATAATAGGAAATAAAGAACTCTTAGTAATATCTTCATAATTGTTGAACAAGTTGGTGAATGAATGTCTAAACCCATTAACTTTGTGGATACCTCATCAGAGTTTGAAGCAATATACATTAGGTATGAATTTCAGTACTGACATCAACACTGAGAGGAAATAAGTATGTTCATCTTGTTGTGCTAATGAAGTGTGGCAACTTGAACCGATGCATATATGTGCCTGATCCTATGTTGTAGCTGATTGACTGGAAAAACATTTGTACACTTCATATAGGACTCATTTATAAGGATCATCATTAGTTCATTACAACCAACTAATTAAATATATATAGTGCAGACTTATTCATCGTCATTACTAATGATAGATTCTTGGAGTTCTAGTGAGAAACAATGATCAGTGGAGTTCAACCAGATCTGCTGGGAAATATCAACTCACTGAAGACATTGGTGAATGGCGTCTCAATTTCGTGGATTGGTTGAAGTTAGATATTAACACCGTTGAATACCGGCCGGTTCAGTGGTCTAGAGGTTAAATACTCTGGCGCGAAACTGGTAGGTCCTGGGTTCGAATCTTGCGAGGTGGGATCGTGGATGCGCACTGTGGAGGACTTTTACAATAGGACGAAACGGCCATCCAATGCTTCCAGGTTTTCGATGGTGATCTAACTTCAATTGACTCATGATCTCAACTATATAAGATTCTTAATTGATTAATATTCGTACTTTTATTCTTTAATAATAATAATAATAATAAATATGGATTATAGATTATTTTGTAGGGTGTACAACTTGTATACACCATCAGTATTTTATCCTTGAGATAGAAAAAAAAGAGTATACATTAACCTTAATCCTGATTAAGTTTTCTTCTTTATGTACCTATATACATGTATGTATGCGTGTATACTTCTAAGTGTTTGTTTGTATGTTCATCATTTAACTAGTTAATCCATGTATTTTCTTTATCTTAATTAACTATTCCTACACAATAGGTACACAATTTTGTATTATTCATTGATCGATCAATAAATGGTGAAATTGTGTTTGTTGTTGTTGTTGTTGTTCATCATAGTTACTTGTAATAATGATGATCGTGTTTTATTTATCCAATTAAATATCCTGATATTCTTTGTGTACTTTCTCTAAAACTTTAATGGCGATGTAACTTATCATGAATATCTATCACCTTGTTTGTTCATGTCTACATATAGATGTATGTATCTATGTGTACTTATTCTATTAGATCAAAACAGGATACAGTACCATCTTTGTATTGTCATTCAGTTGACAATTTTGATTATTATTTTATACGCCCTACCCCCATGTTAATTTATTAACCTTAAATGATAACAATAACCTAATTGACTGACTGACCGACTGACTGACTATACCATTAAATACGTGCCAGGTTTTGACGATGAAATTGTAAACAGCCTAGATTCTCTAGTGTTTTCATTGTTCATATAAAATTGTTCACAATAAGGATGATTAAATTGTGAATTGACTGACTTTAGAGTGTGTAGTCAACCTACTGGATAGTTAATTGGTGACATGATCATCATTGTGATATCTAAAATTAAGAATATATATATCTGCGAAAGATGGGTAGATTTTTAGGGGTATGTTTTTCCAGTCTCATTAAAAAAAAAAATGAAACCGCCTAATATAAATGACAATGTTAGAAGGGGGGGGTTTGTGGAGATTTTAGTAATTTTATATGGTTGAAATCATGATTCAGTTGAAGGTAGACCACGACCGTCCAGTACTTCCAGGTGGTCTAGCTTCAATTGACTCATGATTTCAACTATATAAATGACAATGATTATTTTTCAAAATATCTTATACAGAATATTTGATAATGCAACAATTGAATGAAAAATACTGTAATAATATGTAAGGTACTAGACATAAGTGTCAAACTGATTGATCTTAGTTGTGAATCCTTACTAATTGATGTTATTTGCACTCATGTTACGGCTCTCTAGTCACTACCATCTAACCCCGATACATAAGAGTAAGTTGGCAAATAGCTAAGAGCGATCAAACTAAGATAGAGTGTCAACCTATGAAGTTTCTGACTATTAGTCGGAGATGTGTCTTGTGTTGTAAAGGTTTTCATTAATGTCCACAAAATAACCTTGGTATATGATTAAAATTCCGGTTTGTTATCGATCACAATTGATTGCAGTTGACCGTAAAGGATTCTTTTGCGTCAATTTTCAACTTCAGATCATATTTTTCATTTCCTGATCAAATCTAATAATTTTGACAAAATTTCCTCTAATTATTTTAATTATTATTATTTCGGCTTGTTTACGTAGTTTCTTGTTGGATTTCCTGTCAATTTATTTATTTATTTGAACATATAAATATAGGTACAAAGGGGCACTGAATACATATGCGCCTCACAAATCTTATTTGGTTTGTGTTAGGGCTGTGATACTGCCCAGGTGCCCAAACTGAAGCAGGTGGTTTTCTTAAGGGGCCACACCCGGAGTCTTTGACCTAAAGATCTGATCCACAAGGCAGTAGAACATCGTAAGCAGATGCAGTCTCATGGTAGCCGGTCACCAACAGTTGGTTCATATGCCATTTGTTCCTTCAGGATACTGGAGCCTATGTACACCATTGGTTTTGAGTCAGGTTTTCCAACTCCCCTAGGTGAACTTTCCGTATCCACCAACCCGTTTAAAACGCCGAACATTCGCTTTTCGTCTTCTCAATTTCGTAAACAACAGTAATGCGACGAGAAGGCAGTGAGTAGAACTTCCCTGGTAGAGGCTATATATATGTGGCCATGTGAGAGCATTTCAGGGGGGGAGAGCATACTCTCCCCACTCTCGGCCGTACCAGAGCATTTGGAGCCACAGCTTAGATGCGTACATTTTTACATTTTTCTATTGATGTTTAATAATTTATCTGTCTGCAGTTGCAATTATATATGATATTTATTCTCAAAGCTGTTGCATGTCACTCACTATCCAATCATTCTCTATTTCTCTTGCTAAACGTTTACTCATTATATATTTCTATTTGCAGTTATACGTCGGGGTCCTGGTCAAGATCCACAATGTGCAGATCCTTTAATCAAATCAATTGATACATTTCCAGATACTTCATTTTCATCTAGTAGTGTTTGGAAGAATGCCACTGATTTTCAACCATTTCGGGCTAGGTAAGTTGAATTAAAGTTTAACATTTATTATTTTTGTTAATCATCCAATTTATTTTTTCTCTTATTTTTAAATTTCATTACAAGTTGATGTCAATTGGATTAGCTCTACTGAATAACTAAATTACCATCTATTTCTCTGAACTATTTAATCACTGAATAGTAATTATTTTCATGTTACTGAGTTCTATCGATTACATTACCATGTGGCCATTAGTTTAGGTGATCGGACATCGTGACCCACCATTTATGGTTGGCATCAGTAAGCTGAATTCATTCAGCAAGAAGACCTTTCTAACCTATGTTCCATGCTAGTCGATACACTTCCTCGAAACATATATAAAATCTTGGTCGAATTGGAATTAATGTAACAATGTGCAGGGTTTTGTATCTATTATTAACTTTAATTTTCTAAGATCATTTTTGTTTTTTTAAACTTTGAAACCTAAATTCCTCGTGGGACTGAGACTCGCGTTACGTGACTTCACAGTCTGAGATATTACCATTGGGTTGTTCGAGTAGAGACTTCTTCCAATACAGGTAACACTTAGTTGACCAGTGTCAAACAAGAATCACTTTACAAAAGACAATGTGCTTGAAAGCCAAGTACACAGACCTGTAATTGGTAAATGAGTCTCGCTATTATTGGTTCAACTTAAATTGGTATTGATTATCCCGTTGTTGATATTCAAATTTCATACCCTTTGTACGAGTGATGGGATACAGGTACATCTAACTGAAGAGCCCCAAAGAGAGCGAAATCCACTACCAACCACACTTCATCCATTCTATATTATTACTAGGTTTCTAATCCTTATAAATTTTTAAGTGTTCGCATTTGGATTGAAATTCGCTTAACAGCTGGTCTATAAAGGTTTTTTTTTGGCAAACAAGAGTATTATTTTCCATCTTATATTATACACCAATCTACCCAAACTCTAGTTGATTGTATAACAGTTAAATAAATTCATATTGGAAAAAAATAGTATCCCATTTAAAACCGATCAGTTAATGTGTGATCTGATAAACTTTTGGGAATTTCACCTAGAAATAGATTATATTTTAGTTTTAATAGTAATGAAATAAGTGATTTGGAAAATGGCGGATATGTATAAGTTAGGTATTAAGTCGAGAGTTTGAAATGATGATGAATAGTTGTTGTTCAAGATGAAGATTTCGAAGGTATTATGTTCTCTGAGTTAGAATGATTAAGTTATGAAGCTTTCATTGTCTTTTTAAACAATATCAGAATTGAGATCATGAGTCAGTTGAAGCTAGACCACAATGGAAAACATGGAAGCACTGGACTGCCGTTTTGTCCTATTATGGGACTCCTCAGCAGTGCGCATCCACGATCCCGCACCCGCGAGATTCGAACCCAGGACCTACCAGTTTCGCGCCAGAGTATTTAACCTCTAGATCACTGAGCCGACCGGTATCCAACGGTGTTAATATCTAACTTCAACCAATCCACGAGATTGAGCAACCATTCACCAATGTCTTCAGTGAGTTGATATCTCCCAATAGCCCTGGTTGAACTCCAATGGTTACTGCTTCTCACTAGAACTCCAGGAAATACCTCATGGAGCCAGTCACTAATGAGCATATGATCATTATCAGATGGGTTTTTTTTAGGAGATTTTAGTAATTTTACATAGTTGAAATCATAAGTCAGTTGAAGCTAGACCACTATCGGAAACCTGGAAGCACTGGACGGCTGTTTCGTTCTATTATGGAACTACTCAAAAAATATTTTTTTTCTTTGATATCAATGAAATATGATAGGGGTTCGTGAATGCTGGTTAATATGCGGATGATATGAGATGGTGGAGAAGATTTGTAGCTCAGGTGGGTGATTTTGATGGAGTTTTGTTCTCTGAGCTGGACCAGTCCCCACTAACATCTTATTCTATCAATGTGATTATTGCTAGTAGTTGTATGAGGGGTTCGGCTGACATGGCTCCGGTTCAGTCGTATTAGCGCTGATACACTCACTTCTTTGTCTACACTCGAGTTTTGAAATAATCATACACCTATTTATTCCACAAATTCTTTTTTTTTAATCATATTGTTTATTCTTAATGTTTTCTCATACCACTTATACTGTTACTATTACTCTATTACTCTGGGATTCGTCTTGATAATTTCATCTAACTGTCCTGATATAGCGTGACAATTTGAAATGATGGATAAATATTATAGATATGACTAATTTCTTATTAAGGTTACTATATATACATAGTTGAAATTAATTTGTTAAACGTTTATTTTCAATTGAAAGCGTGAGAACAGAGTACAGACTTAGTTTTGCTTGTTGATTCTTTTACCCACGAAAACAATGTTGGGTAAGGAGGAGGACTATTAGTTGATGAGTAGTAGTGAAGTTGTCTTTTCTTGAAATTGACTAATTTAATCTTGAAAAGGGTAAATTTGTAAACATAATTGTTTAGATTTGTCATTTGAATTAACTCTACATAGTTGACTTAAAGTTACTGCATTGATTAGGTGAGTGAAGTCGCGCACATTAATTGTACAATTTGTAAAATGAACTTGACATGTGTTAGGGCAGTTATCACTGTTATAGGGGTTTTCATAAAGTGAGTAAAGTTGGTGATGTGGGGTTTGAATCTACAATCTATTGACTGAGGCTGGAATGCTATAACACATAGCAATGAGCATAATTCATCAGTTAACTCTACCATTGAACACCATACAGGTGATGCCAACACAATAGAATGTCAATTATTTCATTCTAGAAATTTTGATTGATTCAATTTAATTATATAAAATGTGACAGTTATTTCAATCATTGTCGAGTCACAGAATACACTTGAGAAATTATTCATTTTTGTATTCTTTGTTTGAATCTTCCTATTAACGTGTTTAGGACTGTAATTGATCAATCTCTTATTTAAATATGAACATCCTGTGCGGACTGCCTCTCTGTTGCCTTGGGTCACGAGTATTATAAGCAGAAATGGATGGTAACTCGCAGTGGAATCCAGGACACGCGTTTCGTTCTGTTTAAGACTCGTCAGCTGGATTTACCTGCATCCCATAGTTGATGTTCACTCCAAGACTCGAACCCGTTACCGTTTGCTTCAAACACCATCACGTTATCCATTTAGCTACTAAGTCCAGATAACCATTAGCTTATGCAATAGGGTGAAGCTTTAATTTATTTTTTGTATTGGTTGTTTAAATCTACCCATGGGATGCAGGTACATTCAGCTGAAGAGTCCAAAGTAGGACGAAACACACGTCCTAGTTTTCATTGATAGCCACCATATATTTTTGCTTATAAATTTTCTTCTATACATATTACCATTACTATAATTATTATTGTATTTGTTAATACTTACGCCTGTTACTCCCAATGGAGCATAGGCCGCCGACCAGCTTTCTCCAACCCACTCTGTTCTGGGCCTTCTTTTCTAGTTCTATCCAGTTCTTGTTCATTCTTCTCATATCTGTCTCTATTTCTCGGCGTAATGTGTTCTTTGGTCTTCCTCTTCTCCTTTGACCTTAATGATTCCATGTGAGGGCTTGCCTTGTGACACAAATGGGTGACTTCCTCAAAGTGTCCCCAATCCACTTCCAGCGCTTTTTCATGATTTCTTCCTCTGCTGGAATCTGGTTTGTTGTCTCCCACAGTAACTTGTTGCTGATAGTGTCTGGCCATTGGATCCGAAGTATCTTGCGTAGACAACTGTTAATAAACACTTGTATCTTCTGGATAATGGCTTTCGTAGTTCTCCACTTCTCCGTCCCACACAGTAGAACTGTCTTGACATGTCTTATTTCCTTTAACAATGATAGACTTGTACTATTCGATATTCATGATATATATCTATATACTGTAAATGAAAATGTGTGTTTATGTATAACTACGTTGAAATAAGCCAGTAGACATATCGCCTATGAGACAGATGATTTAATATATTCACCTTATTTGTGTCTTTATTGGATATTGTCATTTTGTTTTTACATATGTGTGTGTATATGTGTGGATAGATTCGTTTTACTTATTCCATTTTCCGTTTGATGTGTGTACCCGTTTAACCTAATTGTAAATATCTTTAAATAAACATTTTATAAATGAATAAATTTTGCATACAAATTGGACGGTTGGAATGTTGTAGTATAAATAATTACAGATTATCTTATTTACATGATGATCATTAAAGAAAACATGTAGTAATTGACAGTTGGAATCATGAATCGATCTAAGCTAGAATATATTACAATCTCCACGAATCCCCATACTGATATAAAAATCATGTACTTACAAGTGATTAGCTTCAAGATGTAACACTCCTAGAGTCCTAGTGAAAAGCTGTGACCATCGGAGTTTAGTCTGTGTCGGGTTTGAAACAGTTATTCACCTCAGACAGTGGATGAAGGGTTACGAAAGATCATAGATTGATTGAAGTTAGACATTAATACCACTGGATCCTGAATCAGTGGTCTAATGATTAAATGTTTGCATGCTAGACCGAAGGTCCTAGGTTTGAGTCTCACGTGCGTGATCGTGGATGCTCACTGTTGAGGAGTTCCATATTAAGATGAAATGATCGTCCAGTGCTTACAGGTTTTCAGTGGTGGTTTAGCTTACATCGTTTATTTATTTATTTGAACACATAAATATTGGTACAAGGAGGCACCAGATATATATGCGCCGCACAAATGTCATTTGATTTGTGTGAGGGCTGTGATACTTCCCGGGTGCCAAACCCAAAGCAGGTGATTTTCTTGGGGGGGGGTCACACCCAGGGCCTTTGGCCTAAAGGTCTTATCCACAAGACAGTGGAGCAACGCCAGGAGATCCAGTCTCACTTTGATTTTAAATCTCAAGAGTTTAAATTGCTGTGAAAAAATTATACATCATGTTATATGCATTTAAATCCTATTTGTTACGATAGAGTTGCAGAGACTGTTGAATTTCATTTAAATCATGAACCAATGGAAGACTGGGTGAATTAGAGAGCTGTTTTGTCCTGGTA